CACTGAGTTGCCTGGAGTGCTCTTTTGTCTTCAGAGTGTATTTATAACCAGCAGCACTGACTCACCAGTTACTCGACCTTCCAGATGCCGGCGTCTTAACGCTGCAGTCGCTGCCCTCAGATGATCTCCGTTTCACCGACTGTGGCACCAACACCCTGCACCTCTGGTAAATGATGTGAATAACTCGGAGGTGAATATCTGCAATGGAGTGCAACTATTCTATTGTACATCTTAGAATTGTATTGGATTGGCTTCACTTTGTAGAAACAGGTTTTGATTTGATACGAAAGAATCTTCTTTTTAGATATTTTTTGTCACAGAAATCCAAATTAAACCAACAATTATTCAGTGCTGAGAAGCAATCAAAAGGGGAAAACTTCCAAGTGCTGGGAATACTGTAGATATTTATTTTAAAACAGTGTAATACAAATTGAAAGGGGATATTAAATTATGTAAGAATATTCATATTTTAATAGAAAAGTATCATATGAGAATATATTAGAATATTAAAGGGAATATTCCTTTAAAATGTGGTGCTTTCTGTCGGGATGTGGAGGTGTGTTTGCTTCTGAACCTGACTTTAAGGTCCTTGACATGATATAACTGCAGCTTTCAGTGTCTCTTATCTGCAGTTTTTCACCTCCAGTGCGTTTTGTGGGTCTGGCCTGACATCCTGTGGAGGTGAAGAGCTACAACAGCCACCGGTGCTTCTTCCACAATTTGCATGTTCTGCCACAGATCACCGTGGCTCTGACGGCAGGCAGCACAGACGACCTGTTAGTGCTGTAGCTCTGCCACATGTTCCTTTAAATTTTAATCCACAATGAGCATAAGCAAGGCCAGAGTTAAATGTTTTACCTGAGCCTCTGTCTAGTCTCGCAGTCCCCCAGCAGAGGTCGTCCTGCAGGCTGCTCAGCTCTGACTTTTCTCCCAACAATTAACGCAGAGGCTAATTTGCTCAATTTGACCGAGGAAGGGAGGAAGGGAGGAGGAGGAGGAGGAGGAGGAGGGGGGAGCTGGGCTGGGAGCAGACTTATCCACCCACTGGCAGCTGCAGGGTTTTAAATTTGTGACTAAATGTCAGCCGAGCACACCTGAATGCAGCCATCCATCCTGTGCGGGTCTGACCGGGGGTTAGTTCAGCGCCAACCGCTAAATGTCAAACCTTTGGCACAGTGTGCGCGCAGCCCTGCGCCACACGGAGCGGCTGATGGGTGGACCGAGCGCAGCGGAGCGATAGGGCGCATTTCTTAATTTCCCTTCAGTTGGCTCTCTCTCTCTCCCTCTCTCTCTCTCTCTCCACCAACCCCCCCCTTTCCAACCTCCCCATCCAGCCCTTGGACACACGACGAGACCGCGGGACGGCCGTGTTTCCCCCCCCAATCCCCCCCTCCCCAACCGTTCACGCACGAGGATCGATCCCGATGTATTATTTACGAGCGAAACTTCAGCAACTTATCCACTGGATATGGCTCCCGGTTTGAGGAGTGGGCGGACAGGTCACCCCGGAGCGGACCCCGGTGGGTGCTCGCCGCGGAGGACGGATGCCGGAGGAGAGGGGAGGTGTTTGAGGACCGGGTTGCGAGTCGGAGCAGCGGGGATGCTCGCAAACTGTCTGCTGTCTGTGGCTGTGCTTTTACTTCTTGTCCGGTGCGCTTTGGCCGCAGAGGGTAAGCACAGCCGATGATCTGCCTGCTCCAGCCTGCTGAGACACATGCTGATTTATTGCATTATTATTATTATTATTATTTCCTTCCCCTGCCTTCCCTCTCCTCTCCCTCTCCCTCCACCTTCCCAGTGCATGTGACAGCCACCGTGGAGAAATCAGAACATACGGGGTGGAAAATGGATCTTTTGTTTTACACAGGGCGACGTTTTGTAATCCTCTGCTCGCTGCTGGCTGCATGAATCACAGCGGCTGTGTGGATGGAGCTGAATGGCTTCACTAAATCAGAGAAAAAACTTCTATCTTTCATCTATCCTCGAGCCAGCCACTTATAATCTCCATCCATATGCTGTGTGACGCGCAGTCATTGCACTGAAATGGAACGCTGTCAGGGAATAGGTCCAGAAAGGCTGTTAGTCAGGATTAAGTCTCTCTCTCTGTCTGCACTCACATGACATGATGTTTCAGAGACCTGTGTGTTGGTTCTGCACCGCTCTTCTGCTGTGATGTAACTCGCTCACCTACTAATCTTTCCACCTGAAGCCAGTCAGCTCCTTTGTCTCACTGATCAGATTGCACAGCACAGAACCACAGCCGGACTCTCTCTTCTCCCCCCTCCCAAAAAAAAGAAAAAAAAATCTCAGCCTCAACACTGTCTCCTGGTTCAACTTCCCCTTTGTTCCTCTGCTGGCATTTCATTAGGGCTGCATCTCCATGAAGGAGGTTATTAAACGTTATCATTGTCTGAAAGGAGCTGTGGGGAGTTATTCTGGGAATGCAGTGCAGTCACAGGACAGTCAGTATTCCAGAGCATCTGGGTCAGCACTAATGACACACATACTATAGCCCACTGTAGGTCTGTTTGTCTCTGGCGGCGCGCGAGGCAGCTGGGGTAACGCTGGCCGACATAGCTGCCCTTCAGCCATCAGCGTTCGGGGAGGAAAAAAGGGCTCAACTGTGCTAAACATTTAGTCTCTGCATGTGCACTGATTTGGCAGCATCACCTTCTGCCTCGCTCTCTCTCTCTCTGTCTTCCTCGTGTTCATATCTCCACCACTTCAGTGCAGATGGAAACAGAAGATGCTCTTTGCAGGTGCTGAAAACTTACCAAGAGGGTCCGTCACCCTTCTCCCCAGTCTGCAAACAGTGATGTAGTGGCTGTAGTCTCACCTCTGCTGATGCACTGCTACAGTAGCAGAGTCTCCTCCTCCCTCCCTCCCTCCTTCCTTCCCTCCTTCCTCCTCCTCCTCACAGTCAGCACATCCATTCTTAAACACATGAGCACAGCAGTAGCACCTGAGCTATAGAGCACATAATTGGTGACAGAAGCATACGAGGGCCTTTAGTGTTGGTCGGATTCAGGAGGAGGAGGAACTGTGCACTCGGGCCGTCCTTTATGTTGCTTTATGTGGTCTTTGGCTGAGTGTGTGTGTGTTTGTGTGTGTGTGCTGTTTTGTAGCAGTGTTCCTCCTGAAGATGATGTGCTCTTAGCGCCAAAACATGATGTTTTGTGATTCGGTGCTTTAGAGAATCCAGGGTTGAATTGTTTATTAAGCGCCTCGCAAGCCTCGTATGATAATCTACCAGCATAATCTAAAGTTTTACAAATTCTAAAAGGGTACAATTAGTAAGGCTTAGCTTCCATAACACAAATATCCAACCATGTCTCTGTCTGAGAGGCTTATTTCCTACAAAACAAAACAGAACCTCTTTAACTTTTTCACAGGCCGGTGAAACCAACAACATTATCGCTGGTAATCTTTCATTTCCTACCTTGGTTCCTGATGGATCTTTAATGGCGTAGATCATTCAGTGCACTAGGGACGCCGTGGATGGGTATTTACATTGAGACCGACCTTATTATATGGATCAGGTATCAGCCCTGAAGTCCGTCTCTTTGTCACTGCCATTAAAGATTATTGTTTTCCTCCATCACTTGCATTCCTTCAGTGACGTTGAGCCACTGAATCTTTTTTTTTTTTTTATTGCCACTAGCATCTCTGTCCTCGTATGCACTTTGGTTGGGGGGGAAACGTCTGTCTAGTCGATGTTGAGCTCTGGGAAAATCACACTGCAGCTGGTCCCTTTCATGGTGGAAAGAAATCCGACAGTGGACATGCTTTTGTGCTGTAATTTGAACAATGCGGTTAATAAATCATCAATGAAAATTCACCCCTCATGAATTCATCCATGTCATAGAGCCAGTCTCAGCTAAGGGTGTACAGGATGTTGTTTTTTTGCATGCTTCATTGAGTTGTAGATTTTATTTGAAATGGATTGAAATCCCAATTTTGTCCATTGGTCCGCATTTAATAAACGCTAATGAAAACAAACTGAAATAAATTCTCAGTCATCTAGGTCATGGTTTTTGTAGGAGTTTCAGTTAAAAGCAACTGAACCTCTTTTTTTTTTTAAGGTTTTGAAGACATTTCACCTTTCATCCAGGAGGCTTCCACCTCCTCAGTGAACTGAAGAAGCCTTTTGGATGAGAAGTGGAACGTCTTTAAAACTTAAAAGACAAGTCTCTTTTTACTGAAGCTCCAAGTAAAGACCTGTTTTTGTTGTTTTTTTTTTACAAGTTTATCAAAAAATCACAAACCGAGACGTCTTATTCACAGAAGTGTGAAGCCCCTTTGCTGTGCTGTTATTCTCTTAGATGTGATCTCGGTTGGATTCTGAATTGTTGGTGAATTGTTTGGACATACTTCCTAAAAGCACACACCTTTTGTGCAAGAGGTTAGGATATAAACCAAGCCATGAAGTCAAAGGTACCATAGGTTGACCTTTACAGTAAAACACAGGTGAAGCATACATCAAGGTGAGGGTATTAAACCGTGTCTTAACCTTTGAGTGCTGGACTCAGCAATTGTGAAATGGGATGACTCTGGAACCGACACCGCTCTCCCTGGAGTTCGACAAGCTACGTAGCCAAGCAAGAATAGCCTCAGTTAGGGAAGAATCCGAGAAGATGGTAGAACCTGCTGAATGAACAACCGCCTCAGCAGCACCTCGTATATCCGGTCTTTATGGTGGAGTAGTTAGACCGAAGTCTGCCTTCTGAGTAAATGGCGTTAGACAGCCTGCTTGGAGTTTGTCAAACTGCATTTGAAGGTGGAAAAAGGTTTTATGGTCTGATGAGACCAAATAAAAAAACTTCAGAGAACTTCTGTCGACAGACCTGAAGATGGCAGTTCACAGACACTTCCCGTTCAATCTGGAAGAGCTTGAGAGAATCTGCCGAGAAAAATTGGGATAAACTTCTCAGATTGTGGTGTGCAAAGCTTGTAGGGACTTACTCCAGAAGACTCAAAACTGCTGCCAATGGGGCTTCTGCATGAATTAAGTTTGTTTGTACTTTGTCATTATAGGTTATCAATTGTTGGTCAGAACTTTTAGCAATTTAGCAAAAGGGGAATGTGTGTGATTACTTTCTGAATTCACAGTGTATTGGCTGGTAAGAAGTGTAAGAAATGCTAAGCTTATGGTACGATACAGAATTAGGTTACAGAAAAACGTGATTCATTACATAGTCTGACCACTAGAGGGCGCTGACATTAAACAGTTGGTATGTAGGTAATCTCGTGAATATTTCTTAAAAAACAAATCCAACAGATAGCATCAAGATTGTTTGTTTTATTCTACACCTGTACATTTATCGAAAACAAATGAACAAACAAACAAATACAAAGCAATTTATATATATACCGTCGCATTTTGATTCACAAACATCCCCTATCTGTCCGGCTAGTCGGCTGTGCTTTGTCTGTCTGAGGTTTACTGAATGAAACGCATCCACAGATGCTGTGAGTCAGTAATATCCGGACTCACGACTTCCTTTCTTAATTTGTGGAGCCGGTACAACATGTGGTTTCTATGGCAACTCCAATTTTTTTTGTCCAACGGTGACATTTTCCCCTTAGACCCCTCGACAGTCAGAACAGAGGACATTGCAGGGCGCAGGGTGCTGCGTCAGTGTGCGTGTCTCGACTAATTTTCACAGCCCAGACGAAGCGTTTTCATGCAGTTCGATCGATCTTTAATTAACTTGCAGGATCTCTTGTTGGGCTTATTTCTTTCTTATTAACAGCTGGCGAAATTATGCTCAGCAGCAGCAGCAGCAGCAGCTCGAGGACACGCAGAAAAGCGAGCTAAACGGAGGCTTCTCTGGTCCTTCCACAGCCAAAGGACTTCTTTTGACATGGGCTCTGTTTACTCCTGCAACCACAACCCGAGCGCTGCTTATGAGCGCTGACAGCTTGGTTTTGACAGGGGTTAACCTCATAGACCTCTCAGTATGAGATGCTATCCCTGAGCTGTTGCCAGTCATCACTTTCTACTTAGGAATTCATTGAAAAAAGACACGAGAGTAGGACTGAAAGCCATTTCCGATTTGCAAAGCAGTCTGGGTGCTTTTTTAAATTTTACCCATAAAATGACTGATAATATGCATCAGATGTCTTGTGACTCTGTCTTTAATGCTGCTACCTGTGTGCTCTTCTTGTTTTCCGTGGTTAAGTATTTTGCAGTTTTCTTTGCCTCCTGTCTAGATTAGCCTTTTCAAAGCTGTCCAGATGGTTAATGTAGAAAATAATTCCCAGGCATTGGTTTAAAAGGGGACAAAACAAAGCATGACTCACCCTTGGTCTTATAACCTGTCTGCGTTAGCTCGGGGTTTTTTTTTTAGGAGCATGATTTCCCTATTTATTTCCCCCGGTTTCACTCCAGTGCAGTGATTTACAGTACACCAGTTAATTATGTTGTGGGTAAGCGTGTCAGGAGGGCTTCAGACGTATTTGCATGTTCGTGGCGTGTGTGTGTGCAGTCAAGATGGATGGTTCCTCCTCAGGTGATCTGCAGCGGTGGGATGTAAACATTTGTCTTGGTGATCAGATATTAAACTGGAGAGTCTATTTACATAACCAGAGATGATGTCTTTTCTTAAAAAGGCACAAAAAAATGCATTGTTTATGTTGCACAGCGCTCCATCTGCTTTCTTTATGCAGA